GTTAGAAAATCTCAATAGTATAATGGTACAAATGATTTTGTTTATTATTTCTCCAGTAATATTATTTATTTTTCAGGAAAATATTATTAAAATAATAATCCCCTCTATACGTGTCTCAAGTTAATGAATCCTTTTCATTTTTTAAGTTAGAACTTTGTAGGTTGTACACTTGTTCAATATTTTCTTTCCCTTTTTATTATTTTTTTTCATCTTCTTTTGTCTCTTTTGACTCTTTTATTGAAGTCCTGCCTAACCCTCCAAAGCACGTGTACATTTCACACGAGCGAGAAAATGCCTTTGATGCGTGTCTGATTAAAAACAATCCATATAAAAAAGGTATTATTAGTGCCTTTTTTATCCATAGGTGTATTTGTCGAATAGTTAGTGCTTCATCTTTTTGTCATCTGACTCCAAGATAGTGCTTCAGGCAAAATAAAATCGAATTGGGATGATTATTTGGAGAGATCTGATCAATGCACATCTTATTAGGCTTTTTTTCAGAATTCTAGAAGAAGGACAACTGGCTTGACACGTGTCGATAGACTTTCGCTTTTCCTGACGGTGAACGCCACCGAATTGCCGAATAATGAATTTCTGAAAGCTTCGGTGGTTTTGCATGGAAATAACTTACTTCAATTACTTAGAGGATACTATTTGTTTAGAGATATTTAAAAAGGCAAGTTTCAAAAAACAAAAAGACATTTAATAAGGTTTATTAGGTTCGGGAATCTCTGTCATCGGCCATGTTACATCGTCTTAGCTGTCGGTTTCTGTGGCCGCTAAAGTTTTAGTGCAGCGGCGAAGTTGGGGTGGCTTCACAGCGACTAGAGTTTCGTTTGTCATATGATATATCGAGTTTGACCCATTATGTTATCTTTTACGGGCTATAAATTAAGTCCATCCTAGAGGAATTTTTTTTTTTTTCTGTCAAATACTAATCACCACCGGTTGGTAACCCAAGATGGTGAGGAAGAGCTTACAACCTAAGATGGTGATCAATTAAGTATGCACAATTCGTTAACATGTCGGTCCTAGAATTGAGAATGCGCGGGATAAATGCGAGAGAAAAATAAAAAAAAAATGCTTTCTTCAACTTCAGATTTTCTTCTAGGTAAAAGTC